TGGGCAATTTACCCAGAAGAGGCAGGGATGATGGCCAGGACACAGATGTATCCACACAAACAGAAACACACATACACACAGCTGTGCCTCAGGGCCAAGGTTCTGGCAATGCATCATTACCCTCCCTTGGAGATGATTCCATATCCCAGCATGCATTTCTCATGTGGAGAGGAAATTATCCCTGGGCCGTGCTAAGAGCCAGTAGAGTGTGTCCTCTCTCCTCTGTCTCTCTTTCTTATTTCCCTTTTTCTTTCTTTGAATAGCTTGCTCATCCTGTGACTATGCATCACACCCTTCTCTTGCTCTCTCTCCCTGAACCACCCAGTAACTAAGATGTTCTTTATTGCACCTTCATTTTTCTCTCCTTCCGCCTTTGTTCTATGTATGAGGTAGAACACAGATTAATAATAAAGGACAAAAAGGTATTGATTCGCTCTCTCCCTCTCTGGCCTGTCCTCAGTCTGTCAATCAGTCCAACAACTATTCATAAAGGTTGAGCTTTTGCATTGTTAATAAAGCGACTATTGTGAAACAGCTGCAAATTGTCATATAAGCATCTTTTTCTCTCTCTGCAGCAGCTTTTTTTGTCACATAAGAAGCTTAGGAGCAGTAGTCATCTGTTGCCCCAACAATGTGCAGTCCTCAGGTCTTGATAATCATTTGAAATTCACATGTAAAAGGACAAATGAGTTGCCTTTGAAAAAAAGGGCACATTTAAAATCCATTTTCTACTATGGACATTTTACTAGTTATTTATAGCATCATTCAATTTTTTTAAAATTAATTTTACTAGATGGTTGCTTGATTTTGTGTAGTTGCAAGTACATATTACATGGTTGCTATGGTGCATTATGTGTATACAGTAGCTACTTTGTTGGAACAAGTGGTGTGAGCAGTAACAGCAGTTGTTTTCCAACAGTAATGAGAGCCTCAACTCTCCTGGTTGCTCTCCATGGTGCTGAAACTTTCACATTCGGTGGGGTTTTGTCTCTGTCCGTGGTGCTGAAGTATTCAATGCCCATCTCTCACTCTCTCTTGCTACTGTATTTTGATCACTTTCAAGTGTACCTATGCATGTGCACGTACACACACACATACACAAGTGCACAAATACACAATGATGTAATTCTCCTTGAGACTGTGTGACACATGTATTGCATTCATACATACAGTAAATGTCAGCATGCACACAAACCTGGACACACATACACAGCACCCTAAACATTCACATGCACAGTCACCACTGACCAAATTTTCATAATGTGCAATGTGGTCAAGCAGTGAGTCAACAAATGCTGAGAGATCATATCATATTAAGATACTGTAAATAGCTATTTCATGTCAGCAGGTCAGTTGTATCTAGCAAATAACGGTATTTCTTTTACCTTGACCCACATGTTTTACTTCAGTCTTGTGGCTTTTAACACAAGAATTTTGTATTGGGTTTTTGATAATTTATTTGGTAAAACTATTATGTGAATGTAAAATGTTAACTGTAACATCATTAACACTTACTTACTTACTTACGCTACTAAATGTTGAGATTTCTGAGATGAAGTAAACAACCAGAGTTTGATTTTGATGAGGGTTTTTATCTTGAAATGCTGTGTCTACATTTGAGGCTGATTGAGGGTTTGATGAGGTTAGTCAGCACCAACACATTATACTACATTCTCATTTGTGATCACGTCACAGGTTTTCTCCACTTTCCGTCCTGTCAGTCCTCATTTTTACAACCCTGTGAATTCTCCTCATTCATTGAAACTTCCCTTGTGACATTTTTTCACCCTCTCTAGGCTTTGTACAACAGCAATTAGCCCCCACCCCCTTTCTACCATCCTCCCTGAGATAGTTATGTGCCTTGCATCATTTCCTTCCTCTTTTCTTCTTCTTTCTACACTCCATCCCTAAACAAATCTCTTTCTTAACATTCTTCCTTTATCTTCTTTATTTGTTCATTTTTAATTTCCTTCATTATTGACTTCTATCCCCCATCCACACCACGTGTTACCATGCCTTACTGTATTGGTTCTGTAGCTCTGTGTTCTACATTTTCCTCTTAATCCTGCTCCATACATTTTTGTTCATATTTGGTTTAAGCTGGAAGCTCAGTGGGCGTGAGAATCTCTTTTTACAAAGAAAGCTTTAAAGAAATCAGACAAATAAAACAAAGTGTAACACTTATCTGCACTATCCCTGCACTTATCCACACTTATCCTTTCTTTCTTCTATTATTCACCCCTCTCCATCTTGGGTTTCATCTACCTCCACTTTTTTCCCTTTCTGCCCAAGAGACTTCTCTACATTCACTCACTCTTCAAAAAATGTAATGGCTCTTAATTGCATTACTGACTACCATGGACACACACACACAAACACCTACACACAATACTATACAGTAACATACACAAGTTAGGCAGAGAATGCAGATTAATTATAAAAAGATATAGTCTCATATGAAACACACGCTGCACATTTACACAACCACTAACACACACAGACATAACCTTTGCCATCACTCAAAGTGTTCTCTGTCTCTAATAGCTGCTAACTCATTTAGCACTTCATGTTAGCTCAGCTAGATCCAATTACAGCGAGAGAGAAAGTGAAGTTCGAGTAGGAGGCCATTTACCCTCACGGATGTAACACATCCAATCCAATCATATTATATCAAATACTGTAGAATAACAGATTGCTCAAAAATGAGGTGTACCTGTGTTGTTGTACTTCTATCTAGAAGTGACTTGGTTTATATAAGTCTCATGAACTCTTTCTGCTGAGACTTCTTCAACTATGTAAAGTCTTATGCAATAGTTCATGAATTTCCTTGAGTGGTCACATTCTCCTGGCGGTTGTGCATTCATGTGAGCTTGCCTGACATCCACTGGTGCCATACTAAAAGCAGGATTTTTGGACTGCACGCAGTCACACAGCCTCTCTCTCTCTTGTTCTTTTTGTTGCCTTCGTCCCCTGTGATTGACAGATGCTGCTGAATACTTGATCCATTCACGTCTCTGTAATTAATGGAATTATACATCAAAAGTGGCCTGTGAGATATATATATATAAATAAAGGGGGGAGAGTGAGCTTTTCTTAATTACAAAGACAGGAGGATTGAAGTGATCATATTCCACTAGGACTCTCTTACACACAGCATGACACTAAGGTAGGCAAAACAGCAGTGGGTGACTGCAGTAACATTGTCTTTAATTAGCTGGTTTTTTCTTTATGCTGTATGTAAGAGGTAACTGCATAGGACTTGTTCTGATGGGATTAAGGCTGCTTAATGACCAACATCAGCACTGTGGGGAAAAACTACACTGCCTTTATTTATTTCAGGGACTGTCCTCATATAAAATATAAGTACAGTATATACTGCATGTCATTTGTGCAAGCAGGTTATTATAACCAGTTTGGCAACATCTAGTGAGAGTTGTAGTTACAGAATAACATGAGCAAAGAATGAAATGTGACACAGTATATAGAGGGGGGTGGCTGTGGCTCATGAGGTAGGGCAGTCGTCTCCTGACCAGCAAGTTGGTGGTTCGACTCCTGGTCTCCCCCCATGCCTAGGTGTCCCTGAGCAAGACACTGAACCCCGAATTGCTCCCGGTGGCTTGACTAGCGCCGGTGCATGGCAGCCTGTCGTCATCGGTGTGTGAATGTTGTGTGTGAATGGGTGAATGGTGTATGATCTTCTGTAAAGCGCTTTGGCCAGTGCAACACACTGTGAGAAAGCGCTATATAAAATACAGTCCATTTACCATTACAAAGTCTGAAGGAGGTTGGAGTGGCTGGCTGAAATACAGTGTTTTCCCTTCAGGAGAGCGAAGTTCACTTCCATTGAGCAACTTGTCTTTTTCCACCTAACCAAGTAATTTTTGTTCCTAAACCTAGCTTGTAAGATTCATGGTGCTAAACTGACCTGCCTGCTGTCCAGCTCTGTCACCCATTGAAAACATCTGGCTAATTATGAAGTGAAAAATATGACAAAGGAGGACACCAAACTGTTGAGCAGCTAAAATCCAATCTCAAGCAAGAATAGGAAAACATTTTGCTTTCAAAACTCAAGCACTTGGTCTCCTCAATTCACACACATGCTACACATGCTTATAGAGTGTTATTAAAAGAAGAGGTGATACAACACAAAGGATAACATAGCCCTGTCCCAGTGTCTTTGAAACAAACTTGAAAAACATTGCATTCAGTTTTTATTTATATTTTACTCAGCATTCCAATGAGTTTGGGAACAGGGCTGTAGACATTAGCGTATAGATATTGAATTCAAACAGGAAAGTATGGCAGTAAATACAGTCCAAGCATATTTATGTTTGTTTTTCTCCCTTCAAGGAGTTGTTCTGTCAATCTCAGCCAGTCATAAACTTCCTTTCCTTTAATTAGCATAATACTACAGTATGTCTCAAATAGAAGCTATAAAATTTTCCTCCTAAATGAACTCAGCCCGACTCCCTGTTGTCTTTTGCCTACCGCTGACACTGTAAAATTCAACAGGTGTTAGTACTAGACTCACTGGGAGCTGTGGTCCTGAAGGAACTGCACAGTTAATGTTGCTACAGTAGATTCATAACTAGTTGACTAGTTTTCTGGATCCAAGGAATGAAATGTAATCCAAAGTATAATATCACAAATAACAGTATGTAAACAGACAGAAGTAACAAATTGTAATATATAAATATAGAGGAGAGAGTGAGCTTTTCTTAATTACAGGTAGGTAAGAGGACTGCAGTGGTCACAATCCACTAGGACTCACAGCATGAAAGAAAAAAAACAAAACAAATGGTAATAAAAGTTTGTTTTTATATTTTGAACGTCCATATTAATCCCTCTCACTGTTTGTCACACTTGACCTTTCAAATGCCTTTAAGCATCCTGTGCTCCATGAACTTGCACATTGGGGTGCAATGAACCCTGTAAAACAATCACATACATGCTTACGCACACATTAAACAAACACAGCCCACACACTGCTTTCATCCTACCTGGGGTCTTTCTGAATAGAATCAATGGAAGGGGAACGCTGCAGGCTGCCTTCAGGCGGCAGGGCTGGGCCAGACTTGCTATAGGGTGATTCCACCACTGAAGGGCAGTATTGCAGGGTGCGGTAGGGGTCTGCCACATAGGGGTCTGAGCCATACACATCTCCGCTGCCACCACCTCCGCTTGAGGTGTATCCTGGCCCCACTGTGGAGTAGTTGTTTCCGCCACGGCTATAGTTTCCTGTTCCCGTGCCATGACTTCCTGTGCGCTGCAAAGGGGCGGAGTCGACACCAGGGGAGGAAGGAGCTACAGTAGGAAAGTAAGGACAAAGGACATAACTTAGGACCTGGTCACAGACACGCTGGGTCAGATCTACAGGACAGACAAGGGGACAGAAGGGGAAGAGGTCAGAAAGGAGGGAGTAGAAAATAAAAAAGGAGAGGAGTGATGGACAGAGGATTAAAAAAACAATGGGAGCAGAGGGGAGGCAGAAAGGCAAAAAGAGAGATGAAAAGGTTGTTGGAGAGAGAAAATAAATGCCTCCATTTTGATGGATAAATATTGGCCGCATGCCCAGGATTAATAAAAAGGACCAGTGTTCAACAGAGGAAAGAGAAAAAAGGATCAACAAAAGTTGTGTAGACATAAGTTTGATGTCATATTAATGACTGCTCAAAACAATCTGTAAAAAACAACATCTACTATTGTACATGTCCAAATCACACTAATCTAAAGCTATTCTTGAGAGTATATAGTATTTCTATATAGACTGTCACACCACTTAGCTATAGATGTAAAGTATAGTAGTTTTGTTAAAAAAAAAACATTTTCAGAGACTCAAACTGTGCGTTTTGCCAGTCTTGGAGGGGGGCATCTGTCATTGTCGGCTCTGGATACGAGGGTAATTCATCACTGCACAGTTTGGGAAATTCATAAATTCATTTTTAATCCGTTCAAGCAATGGTCAATGACCTTTGCAGGTCAGTGCAACTGGGGTGAAAGTTCCACAGATTTGGAAATTTTGTGCACCACCGCTTAGTTTGACGCAATATGGAAGTACACACAAAGCAGTCACACAGCACAATGCACACAAAGAACGTGTGCACAAAGGCTGCTTTTGTCCACTGTAATGTGAACACAACAAATTAGCTTGCCATTTTCATGCAATGAAAAATGGAAACTTTGCACCTAAGTCTATTTGTGGGTAGCTCAAGGACAACTGCAGAGCTTTTTCCATACAGTGATAAATCTGTCTGGTAATCAATAAGGCCAAAACAATACATACAAATAAATACAAAATGAACAATGACAGACCACGTTATTTGTCTTTAGAGTAAGATGGAAATTGAATGGGGATGAAAAAAGCCTGCAGGGGCACAGCTGTCACCTTCCCTCCCTGTCATTGTGGGATCAGTTATATATCAAAGTGTTAATGTCAGTCTGGGGACCTTGTTTCTCTGCCTGGAAAAACAGTGACACAGACAATGTGGGGGTGAGCCACCTCATCAGGACCAAGGTATGTGGACCATGAAACACATTTACATGCAAAAACATCAAATATGTGTTCTCCAGGAAGAATGTGATAAATCAGACTCATGAAATCAATATAGAGTCATGTGATTGACTTTAACACAAGGTAATGAGCCTATTTTTACAAAGTGAATTAGCATTTACTGTCTGGATGAGACGATTCACACAAACTAGAGAACACAGCATATACATACTGTATAGGCCAGGATACAAGCTCTCCAACGTGTTTTATATGCACATATGAGAGGGAGCACATATAAACGCCCATATACACCCTGTTTAAATCCCTGCTCTAAATTAACAAAGGAATACAGGTTGTGTGAATGTGAATGTGTGGTGAGGTTGAGAGTCTCATCATTATGTGACCAACAAACTTGCTCTTTAGCGTTGTCTTGAGTGGTGGCATTTACTTGACCTTCACAACCTTGTTATCAGTCTCTTTTTCATCATTCTCTCTCTCTCTCTCACACACACACACACACACAGAGCCATGTGTATTTACTTCCTTTAGCCGGATTCAACCAATCTTTAATAATCATTTCCTAAAGCTTTTATTTAACTTTTTCACACCAAGTCTGATAACCCCCATTAGTCAGCCTACCAGAGGCACAAGGGACCTTCTGGATGATGTAACTACATATTTAGCATATAGCAAAGTTTTATTTCACAACTCTGAAATTTAACTAACATACTGTAACTCATTTCTGAGCCAAACAATGAAATAGTCAAAGATCCAAAGAATTGGATAGGAAAATGAAATGGTGAGTGAGCCTGGGGAAAAACAGGGACACAGCTAAGAAATGGAGCTGCAGTTTAAACAAGACCTAAACCAGAAGCGAGAGGGAAACAAGAGGTGATGGAGGGGGCAACAGTAAAGCCACACAGAACCAGGGGTATAGGAGGGTAATGAAGCAGAGTTACACCCATCAGGAGCAAATCCCAGTCTTTTCTGTGCTCTTTAAATAGTATCTGTGGTGTGTCTGCCTTTCTGAACATCTCATTAGTAGCTGGAGCTTTAAGCTAACATCACCAGTGTCAGTGTGCACTCACCAAGAGACTTGACGCCCACATGGGATGAACCTCAGAGTGAAAGAAGGGGTGAGAGAACAGTGAAAAGAAGAGAGAAGGAAAACAAACAAACAACAACAAAATGAACTGTCAATGTATTTCATGGCCTCTGCTGTAACCACTGAATGGGGATGTCCTTGGGAAGAAGATGAAAAAAGGAAAGACAACACAAATGACAGAGTTGGTAGAGAGCATACACCCAAAGACATTTTCACATTCTGTTATTTTGTATTCACCTTCCCCACACATCTTTATACAATCCATTTTCTTCTTCATTCAGTCTTTCGTCTGGCCTTCCTCTCTTTTTCTCCTGCCTTAAGTAAATGGACTGCTGCTGAATTTATCATTTGTTCTGATAATGGTGTGTTCTGACTGATGACTTGACCTTTGCGGCTATTATTGCCTGGCAAAAATCAGCATGCTGTTGCCTATTTATGCATTTCTTGTCATTGTGTACGTGTTTCTACCGTGTGTGTGTGTGTGTGTGTGTGTGTGTGTGTGTGTGTATACACTCCTGTATTCTTGTCCTTATGAGAACCAGTTGGGTCTTAAAATACTGGAGTCATGATATTTTGACCAGCTTTAGATTTTGAATTGTATCAGTTGTAGGGGTTGCACCACTTACATTTTTTTAGAGTCAACATTTTTGTTATGACATTTGACATCAACTAGTCAAAAACTAAACTAAACAAAAATCAGCTGTGTGCCACATTTTAATGGGTTCTCAGTGACACTGAAGCAGCTGAAGTGGGTGCCCCCCAACCACCAGTTGGCAGCAGTGAGCAAACTGCTGTTTGGTGCACCAGAGTGAGGATAAGAAGTCACTATGCTAGGAGACGCCACATAAAGCTGAGATTGGTGCTTCATTCGAACTGTTTTCAAACAGAGTGGTTTGCTTTTACAAGAGAAAAGACTTTAAGGTGAATGGTCTTCTACTTCTATAGTGCTTCTCTATGCATTGCAGAGCACTCAAAGCACTTTCACATTATTTGACCATTCACCCACTCACACTCCCAAATTCACACACCGGTGACGTCACCGCGTTCAGCGTCTTGCTCAAGGGCACTTCAACATGCAGGCAGAAGAAGCTAGGAATCAAACTGCCAACCTTCCAGTTAGGAGATGACCCGCTCTACCTGCTGAGCCACAGCCATGGTGACTAAACGGCTGGTTTTACATGCATGTGTATTGTTTGTCAAGCTCCAGCACACAGCCATGCACCAATGTTTCTGGAAGATGCATCCGTGACTGTCCATGTATACAGATGGTGACTGGGCTACTGTTCCACCAGCTCCCACTGTGATGCTGCACAGCTAAAGACTTTTGGATACTTAGTTTGGTGACTGTTTCATCTGCATAACCAACAGCTGCTCAAGCGTGACAACAATGAAACTCCACCTGACTGAGCAGTCAGTTTAAAGTTTACTGGCATTTACACCCAGGTGTTCCAGCTGTTACCTCAGGGTGCAGTTTGTCACTGCTAAGTGGCAAAAATGACTAACTACTCACTGTGCTGCATCAACAGCCTTTGCTATGACTAGTCAATGTCATGTTGAATAGGACATCTGCATGATGAAACCAACTAGTCGACTATTTGACTAATCTGTGCAACCCCTAGTCAGATGGGATTTGAGTTTAGAATTAGGATTCAGGTTAAGGTTAAGCAGGTTAACTGAGGGTTAAGGTTTGAGATTATGGAATAAGGTCCTGCATTATTATACTTCTGTATAGTAAGACAAACATAGATTGCATGAGTGTGAGAGGGTCTGTCTTACATGAGTCTGCTAAATAACCCACAAGAAACAAATTGCTCACTGTGCGAGTTCATAAATACTAAACAAATCATGAAACGTGACCTACACATGCACACAAACAGACACATGTATGCTCAACACCTCTCACACCAACACTGGTGGCATGAACTTAATGTTTAAGAAGAAATAAAAGAGTGGGTGTGTCTTTGTATTCCCTTGCTTTGGCACAGAGTAAACAAGTTGCATATGTGCTTCTGTTGAGAAATTAGTGATGGGAAAGGAAACTATTAGCCATTTGACACAGTGATACTTCTGCAATTAATCAACTAACTGAGGGGCCGACAAGCTTAGAGTGGGACTGACTATTTCTTTGGGCTGCTGAGATGAGGAATCCCTCCATGAATGTACAAGAGATGGAGGGCACCAGGGAGGGAGAGAGAGAGAGAGAGAGAGAGAGATAGGAAGATGATGATCAAACCAATCCTTTGAACCTTCCACGTCCGTCCTTCTCTTTCATTCTTTCATCTCTGCCTTGATTTTTTTCTGATCCTACTCTGTCTCCGTCACTTTCTTTTTCATCATTTCCTTTTCTTTTCTCTTCTTTCTTTGCATCTTTCTGTCTCCCTCTAGGTCTGTCCCTCTCTATCAATGCCTCAATCCACCTTTTTCCTCACCTATTGCTTTTGAACCCTCTTTATAATCTACTGCTCTCCCTCTGTTACTGCAGTTTACACCCTTTCCCTTTTCATTTTCTTTTGTCTGTTATCCTCTTTCAGTCAACCTTTTCTGTTCA